TAGGTATATAATAATGCTAACCCATAGGTATAGGGCAGATACTAAAACATAGACACGGCGCAGTAACTAACCCATGGGTAGGTGGCGGGTGCTGGCCCATAGAAACTACAAAGACCAGTACTAGTACTATTACTTCAATGACTGCGAGGAGTAGAACGAGACTGGGCTGAGTACAAAGTAGGACGCTAGAGCACGCGGCATAAAAATTAATAACTACTAATAAGAGGTCAGGTGTCGGCGCGTACACTAACTGTCAAGTGACAGGATAGTGCAGACTGTTCCCCGCACACAAAATGCAGCTAGTGCAGGCAGCCAGACAGCGCAAGCTCACACCGCGCACAATCTACAGCTAGTACAGGTAAGCTGAGACTATAGCCAGACAGTGCGCGCTCAAACAGTACACACAACAGTACACACATTTGACTGCGTCGTGAAGACAGTAGGGCACACAGTCGTAGGACCAATACTGCTCTACTTGTTACTCAGCACACATACGTGCAAACAAAAGTGAAAAGAGCGTGAGCGGCCGCCCGCCAGCGGGGGCCCTGACCAAGGGACAGTGCTGACCAGTACTGCAGTAGAAAGACTAACTGCAAAGAAAAAAGTCAACCATTTCTTACATTGTAGCCAAGGGAGTAGGTTGAGGAAAAGTTACTCTGTTGAAATAGTAAATTCTGTTCTGAACAATAAATAGATGATATGCCAAATAAGCGCTCGAAAAGTTGAGAGGGCATGCGATTGATGCGCCCAGGCTTAGCTTGTCAAGTGCACGGGATGTGCAAAGTACACGAATTTTAGGCTTGTTGCGCGCTTACGCGATCAGGTGCTGCACGTGCATGAATGGAATGCATGCAGTTCCACTGTTACCGCATTTTGGCATTCCGTCGGAGAAAATTTTCGGATGGAGAAAAGGAACTCTGACACCTTTGTGCATAGTTTACTTTCAATTTTTCATTTTGATACCCGGATATGGCAGCAAGAAATAGTACACCAGCAATTGCTTCTCGTTTTGCGAACCCACCTGTGGCCAAAGTGTGGGCGAAACGATTGCTAGATGGACTTTTGCTCAGCTGAAGACTTACGTGAGGGAGAGATACCGGTAGATGGAAAGCGAGATGATTTGTTGCAGAGGCAAGACCGAAAGATTTTATTTTATTCCCAACGCCCCAGAGCCTAGGACAGGGGACAATGATGGCAGTCGGCGCCGAGCAGCGAAAGGGCGATGAAAATCCGTTCCTCCTTCACTGGTCGCTACAGCAGCGAATATCTTGACACCATCTGCATCGGGAACAGAAGAAGCTGCTTCTCCGGTGAATCCATCAAATCATAGATGCTGCTCAACAAACAGACGCAGAATTTCCCGCTGAGGCCTGGACCCATCGCTCGGAGGATTAGCTATGTGGTGTTTCTGCTAGTGCTGTACTCCAGCATCTTCAGAATCGAGAAAGGTACCTAACGACACAGAAACCATTCGGGGATGAGTCCTTCTTCTCGCCATTCGTTTAAAGTGTTGAGTGTTGCTTCCCAGAGCCAAATAATTCTGGACCGCAGAGATACTTTGTCAAGGCTAAGTGTTGGGCATCTCAAAAGAAGAAGAAGGAGAGCTAAGTGTGTGCTACAGTGCTAAACTAGAGAAAAGCATGTACTCGAAGTGATGTCTGCATATTGCACTTGCACTGCAGCATTGCATGCTCCTTCCACCACATAGTCATTGTTGCATTGCTGCTGACCCTCAACTATTGTGAGATGAAAGGTCAATACCTGGCATATGCAACCTAGCAACAACAGCAATGGGGCCCAAGGGCCAAGGAACGTAGTTATGAAAACCCCTTATCAACCACCTGGGCATACTGACATTGGCAACATTGATTTGCCTTTGGACTGGGAAATCCCGCCTTCCTTATCCCACATCACAGAGAAGGTGCTCCTAACAGAGGCAATAGCAATAGAGCGCCGTCCCCAACAGCAGATTGGCAGCGGCATATGGCATAGGCTGAGAAGCAAGACCCTGACTGCTTCGCGGCTTCACGTCATCCCTCACCCGAGTGAGATCACATCAGCGTTTCTTCCGTCATTGCTCCAGGCAACCAGTTTCTCATGTGCTTTCGCTATTAGTCAGGGCCAGCACAAATAGAAGTTGTTCTATTTGTATTGTATTTATTATTTTACTAGGGCAATCCCTGCAGACAATACGCCTTTTTACAGGGTGCTCGAGGTAAGTGGGTAAAAAAAGTTGAATGAAAAACCGAGGCTGCATACTACGCCATTACCATGATTACGTATTGCTAAGGAGGTTACTGGTTGTTATAATATAACAGCCTTCTATGCAGCCTCTGCGGCATGCCGAAGGAGGCTGCCTAGCAGCACCCCGATGGAAGAAAACTCCAGCTATCAGAGACCAGGTACCTGTATGTTTCGCAAAGAGAAGCCATGTCGTGAAGAAGCATTAGGTAGGGCTAAAGCGAGGGTGTACTATCCCCTGGTCAAGGCTTCCATAGCCAGCGTAGGGTGAATATTTGACCTAAAAACAAAGGAAACTCTGCAAAGAGGGGGCTGTGGCGGCCATGCACACATTTATAAAACAAGGCAAAAAGAAGGCGAAATAATTATTATAAGGTTATAATGGATGGCGGCTGGAATATTTTGTGGCGGTGACAAATGGTGGCTGCTGGGTAGCCAAAAGTTTTAAAATGTTATCTTGAGACTCCGCTTGAAACGTCTAATGAGTGTGTTGTGCAAGGTTACTGATATGATGCCTTGTCTTTGAATCTGGATACTAGAACTCCAAACATGCGACTGTTAGTCATTTCGCTCAATCTTGCTACTTTATTCTTGCAGTCACCCAGATGGCATTGAATACTGTCGAATGCTTCTTCCAGCGTAGGGACAGTATGCCTGGGATATCACTAGGTATGAGTCGTATGTCTTCAGGCAGCTCCTGTGCAGTAGCTCACGACACTAGGTAGAGCGACGCCGGTTAGCATCAGCCGCTGTTGTCTTGGTGGACCAGATTGAAAACTCCAGATACAAAATGGTTTACCAGTCTTGCTCTGGCGATTTTCTCCCCTTGTACATAATCTTCTGGCAAGAAATGGTCAGATCACACCACTGTAGTGTCACCTTTTTTTTACTCTCCTTCTCTTTCCTCCCTTCGAATAGCAACAGTCCATTTCCTTCACAGTTCAGGATGATGGAAATTTATGGAAAAGACGAATACCATTTTGCTGGGGCCGGGGAGTAACGCCGGTCACCAGTACATCCTGGAACACAGCAATGGTCGTGGTTGGTCGGCATCCGAAAACAAGACAGCGAAAAATCACTCCAGCCGCTATAAAGCAAGCAAAACTGTTTCTTCTATCCAGATTTACAGCTTTAATTTTTCAGTAATCTCAACGCCGAAGGAAGTGCTAAAACTAGTAACGGTGGAACTGCATGCATTCCATTCATGCACATGCAGCACCTGATCACATAAGCTCGCGACAAGCCTAAAATCCGTGTACTTTGCACATCCCGTGCACTTGACAAGCTAAGCCTGGGAGCATCAATCGCATGCCCTCTCAACTTTTCGAGGGCTTATTTGGCATATCATCTATTAGCTGACACCTCTAAAGAGCCTGGATCATAGACAGCTGTGTGCCCAATGTGGAGCGGGGGGGGTTCCGATGGAGGAGGCACTGGGAGGCTGGAAGGACAACTCAACACGGACACCATCTGATCAAGATCTCTGCTTTCTTGTCCTACTGCTCATGCCCGCCGATGGATCATCAAATGGAACCAGGTGAGCTAAACCTCACACTATGCAATGTCCTCTCCCCTGAATTTTTCTTGCACAAATTTAATTAAATTTTCTGGTTTCCTCAGTACCCATGCATGGTCGGCGGGCGATAAATTTTTCAACCCCTGAGCAACATAAATCTGAACATTGACCACAATCCACACAGGAGCGTTTGATGCATGAACTATAGGGAACTGTTGTGTCTGGTCCACTTTGCTGTGCATTTGCTCCTGAGTTGTCATACCGTGTCCAGGAACCTCCTGCCTTCCTCGGTCGTAACCCCCGGCCCCTGCTGTTCATAGTTCCATAGGCACTCTTTCTTGAGTGCAGTCCCATATATCAAGGTTTGTATCGTATAGCGCGTTTCCACACACACGCACCCATACTCACACACACACACACACACACACACACATACACACACACACACACACAAATATGCCCATACATAATGATTTAGGGGGGGGGGGGGGGATAGATAGAACAAAACAGCCCACCCAACTTAACTGGGACCCCACCCATACACAAATTTAGGGGGGGGGAGGGTTGGCTCTGTCTCTTGCCGCGCGGGCTGGCACATGGCGGTGGGACATAAACGTATAATTATCATTTTAACAAAAAATAATAATAACAATACTAAAAAAGAAAAAAGAAAGAGCGCCACATTCTATCCTTCATTCAGGTATGCACATACAGAACATCTAGCCGATAGAGGCGGGGGTCAGACATAAAATTTCACCCAGCAGTGCCCACAATTCAACCCCAACTATAACCGCTTTTGAGTCTGGATGTATTGGTCATTAGGGCCGATACTGTGAGCCTGCCACGAGCAGTGTTCCCCAAACGACTCCAGGTAAAAGAAAATATATATTTTTATATATTTAAAAATAATAAAAACAAATTAGCAATTTGCTGTGCACTGTGATCTGACCCGTGCCTCCGATGAGAGTGGGATGGGTGCCCATAGACCAGCTAGGAGAATGCCTGAGGGAATGCAGGGGTGCATAATTGCCGAACAACCCGCTCCCTGGGACTAAGGGCTAAACATTGACGCCCCCAACTACTGATTGAAGGGGAGTCGGTTTGAGAGTCTGCAATATTGATTCACGGCACCGGGTGGCGAAGCTGGCATTACCATTATAATTCTCAATTCACGGATGACATGGCGTCAACCAATGTTGTGAACCATTGGTGTTAGTACTGGTCAAGCATTGTTAATAATTATTTATTATTAATTATTTTATTTTATTATAATTATTGTGTTTTCTGCATATTTAACATTAGGTTACCTCCTTTGAATTTTTCACTTGATTTCTCCACCATATCCTCGACTTATCGCCTCTCCGTGTCATGGATTGTTGTGTCGTCTGCATATTGGGTGATTGTTGCTGGTAAAGATAAGTGCGATAGCATAGGATCAAGGTGGCGCATGTCTCACTCAGCATACAAATTGTACATGATGGGAGAGAGCGGATCCCTTGCACTACTCCGATATTTGTAGCAAATGCTTTGCCTAAATGAGAACTGAGCTTCACTCTCATCATCGTGTCCGAGATCAGAGTGGCAACGACATCAGTGGCAGCTCCGGAGTCTGAAAACCGCGCTAACGCCTTCTCACGGACAATAGTATCAAATGCACCGCTGAAGTCTAATAGTGCGGCAGAGTATTTCCAGTCATCGAGTAGTGCACGTTTGCACATGATACGGGTATAGAAAACTCCGTAAGCATACCAACACCAATGCAATGCCACAAGAGCATACCAAGACCAATGCAATGCCACAAGAGCATACCAACACCAATGCAATGCCACAAGAGCATACCAAGACCAATGCAATGCCACAAGAGCATACCAAGACCAATGCAATGCCACAAGAGCATACCAACACCAATGCAATGCCACAAGAGCATACCAACACCAAAGCAATGTCACAGGTGCATACCAACACCAATGCAATGCCACAAGAGCATACCAACACCAATGCAATGCCACAAGAGCATACCAACACCAATTCAACGCCACAAGAGCATACCAACACCAATGCAAATCCACAAGAGCATACCAACACCAATGCATTGCCACAAGAGCATACCAACACCAATGCAATGCCACAAGAGCATACCAACACCAATGCAATGCCACAAGAGCATACCAACACCAATGCAATGTCACAAGAGCATACCAATACCAATGCAATGCCACAAGAGCATACCAACACCAATGCAATGCCACAAGAGCATACCAACACTAATGCAATGCCACAAGAGCATACCAACACCAATGCAATGCCACAAGAGCATGACAAAACCAATGCAATGCCACAAGAGCATACCAAGACCAATGCAATGCCACAGGAGCATACCAAGAACAATGCAATGCCACAAGAGCATACCAACACCAATGCAATGCCACAAGATCATACCAACACCAATGCAATGCCACAAGAGCATACCAACACCAATGCAATGCGACAAGAGCATACCAACACCAATGCAATGCCACAAGAGCATGCTAAGACCAATGCAATGCCACAAGAGCATCCCAACACCACTGCAATGCCACAAGAGCATACCAACACCAATGCAATGCCACAAGAGCCCACCAACACCAATTCAATGCCACAAGAGCATACCAAGACCAATGCAATGCCACAAGAGCACACAAACACCAATGCAATGCCACAAGAGCATACCAACATCAATGCAATGCCACAAGAGCATACCAACACCAATGCAATGCCACAAGAGCATACCAACACCAATGCAATGCCACAAGAGCATACCAACACCAATGCAATGCCACAAGAGCATACCAACACCAATGCAATGCCACAAGAGCATACCAGCACCAATGCAATGCCACAAGAGCATACCAATACCAATGCAATGCCACAAGAGCATACCAACACCAATGCAATGCCACAAAAGCATACCAACACCAATGCAATGCCACAAGAGCATTACAACACCAATGCAATGCCACAAGAGCATACCAACACCAATGCAATGCCACAAGAGCATACCAACACCAATGCAATGCCACAAGAGCATGCCAACACCAATGCAATGCCACAAGAGCATGCCAAGACCAATGCAATGCCACAAGAGCATACCAACACCACTGCAATGCCACAAGAGCATACCAACACCAATGCAATGCCACAATAGCCCACCAACACCAATGCAATGCTACAAGAGCATACCAACACCAATGCAATGCCACAAGAGCACACCAACACCAATGCAATGCCACAAGAGCATACCAACATCAATGCAATGCCACAAGAGCATACCAACACCAATGCCATGCCACAAGAGCATACCAACACCAATGCAAATCCACAAGAGCATACCAACACCAATGCATTGCCACAAGAGCATACCAACACCAATGCAATGCCACAAGAGCATACCAACACCAATGCAATGCCACAAGAGCATACCAACACCAATGCAATGTCACAAGAGCATACCAATACCAATGCAATGCCACAAGAGCATACCAACACCAATGCAATGCCACAAGAGCATCCTGCACCCGAGGATAATGTGCCTGATGATAGAGATACTTCAGATGCCAAAATCTCTCCGCAGGACAAGAAGATCAAGATTCTGTGGGATTTCACCATCCGGTGCGATTTCTTCAATAAGCACCGACGGCCTGGTATTGTTCTGGTGGATGGATCTGCCAAGAAGTCCCTGATCATTGACATTGCTGTACCTGGTGATCCACGCGTTGCTGAAAAGGAAGTTGAGAAACGTGCCAAGTATCAACTTCTTGCTTGCGAAATCCATCGCCTATGGCAAGTTGAGACTCGGATTGTTCCTGTAGTAGTTGGGGCTTTCGGCATGTTTCCAAACAGTTGCCAGGATGCCTTGACACCATCCGTATCACCAGCTACTGCTCTGTATCTGAATGGCAAAAATGTGCTCTCTTTGGCTCGGCAGCTATCCTGCGTAAGGTCCTTGCTTTGTAATGCTCTGGGGTGGGTGGTGGAGTTCTTTCGGTCCTATTTTCCTCCAAACTCTCTCATGTTTCCTATGATCGATATTTAGAAAAGGGTTGTGTGTTTCTCTTTGTTGTTTACCTACCATCATATAATATCCATATAATGCATGGCCCCACCTTTGGCTGCTGGATTCTAGCTCGGTGGGTGCCTATCTCTAGCCTTCGGCTGAGTGATCATGGAGAATTGGATAATTCAAAGGATGAGTCGGGGAAGTGAACTGCCAAAAAAAGATAAAAAATTACCAGACCCCCAGGACCTTGTCCTGGTGGCTGAGTAGATCAGACTCACAGCCACGTGGTCTTGGACCAAAAATCGCTGATCCATATTTTCCCTCGTGTCAGGCCATGATCCAGGCACCATCCCTGCAGCTTGCCACTTTTTATGCCGCACATTATTTTGTGAAGGTCATTCTTGGAACATTGTATAAGGTTGCTTTCCAGTTTGAATAGCTCTTTCATAACCAAATCCACAATTCACGGGAGAGGTGCAAGTGCGGATCACCGCAAATGATTATAAACTCTGTCTAATGCACTGGTGTGCATTGCAGTTCTATATCCGTCTCTCTTTAACTCACACTCTCACTCTCTATCTCCCTAACTCTTTCTCTCCATCGTTCTTTCCATCTTTCTCTTCATCTCTTTCTGCCTCTTTTTCTCTCACTCTCTTTCTCTCATGCTCTTTTCTCTTTCTCTTTCTCGTTCTCACTATCTATCTCTTCCATCCTTCTCCCTCTTTATCCCTCTCCCTCTTTCTCTCCATCTTTGCCTCTCCCTACCACACTTTATCTCTCCTGATCCCTTTACTATCCCCTAGTTTCTCCTCTAGCATTAATTGAAATCTGGTTTAGAGTTTCACTTACGCTCAGGATATCTCTGCAGACCTCAGAAAGTTCTTTTCTCAGGCGGTCGAAGCTTGCGTCATTGACGGTCGCATTGATAGGAAAGCATCCTCGAAAGTGGAGTTTATCACCAAACTCCTCCTCGACACTACTATAGCTTGTGGCAAGCTTTGCAGCAAGTTTTCCATGATCCTCTCTCTTGATCTCGTCGCGAAAGGTCGCAATGATCATGACATTGAACGGCTGGTCTGTATTTGCAACAACAAGAGATGGGAAACGCAAACAAAAAAAGTATATATATATATATATATATACACTCAGACACAAAGGATCTCCAAGTTTCTCACTGTTGCTACTCTGAGTTTCGTGCAAAAGCACTCTTCAGGCAACTATATATATATATATATATTTGTGGTGAGGAGATTTGAGGAAAGGTGATTTTAAGCAGCACACTCTCTGCAATATCATAGCATGCAGCTAAAAAATTGGTCAAAAGAGTGTTTTAAAGCAATTGTGCTAATGCTACTTCAAATGAATTGGCGACCGCTAGTACATACTAGGGTGTTATGAGCGGCCTCGAAGATATATCTCGTGAGTGATGATGGAACCATGCCTGACCTCCATGTGTTCGGTCTCGGGCTGAGAACCTTGGCAATCTACTGGAGAAGTGGCTGCACAGGCCAGTCAGCGCTGCTGTTTCTGCGACAAACAAAGAAGAAGCAGCTAATGCCGACCAGGCTGATTCTATTATCAGATCTCTGAAGAGCAAAGTCTGGAGATGGAGAAGACAGATGCGAGTTCTCTGAATGTTTCCGAAAATTTTGGGCTCCATCGGGCATAGACTATTTTTGTATGGACATTTCGGACGTTGCTCAATTGGAGAAGAGAGCAGAATATTTGAACCAAGGGCACGGCTCTTCCATTCAAGGCTCTCGACAATAACGGATCTGAACGTTTTCGACCCAGAAGCTGTTTGCTGTTTTCTCACTTGTCAGTTGTGGACTCATTGTTGCGGCAAAGATGAGACGGGACTATTCCATGGCCAAAAATAAAATAATTATTTTCTTTCTCAAACACAAAGCTCACTTTCCCTGACTGCATGTATGTGCACGTGACAAGCATGTGGACGTGATTCATGTAGCATGATAGTGCGGGTATCCAGTAGACTGGTAGTGGCACATAACTTTATGCACAGACCCTAGTGCTCTGTGTGGTAAAACTGTTACTCACTGCACACACACACAGCGTGGAAAGTCCAACTCTGGAAAGTTCGGAATAACTTGAAGATTTGTATAATGTCCACTATCCGTGTACGCACCCATGTGCCATGTGTCGACACTCTTATCTCATTTTCTAGACCACCTCCGTGTGAACATGCATGGGCAAAAGGGACGACCTAGTACATGGGGCAGTGCATGTTCAGCTTGATGTGCAGTAACAATTTGTTAGTACAGTGTACAGTGTAGTGCACAGCACTTGTGAATAAAACTGTTTGTTCATGTGAAAATCAGTCTGATTTCACGTATCCAAAATAACGCCGCGACCACATACGCTCCGGGCCCATATTGACGCACATGTTCTGGACCCGTCTACCAAAGGTCTCCACGGGTTGCATGGGTATCCGACTACACCACTATAAATAACACACACATGAACACACACACACACACACATGCACACACACGAATGCACTACCACACACACACACACACACGCATGCACACACACACACACACACGCATACGCACACACACACACATGCACACACTACTACTACTACTACTATGTACAGCTACCCTATCGGGCCACGCCGCTCCCAGAAGCGGGAGACAACGACAAGAAGAGAGAAGAGAAGAGAGAGAAATCGCAAAGTCAACAATATTTGGCATGACGTTGCAAGTCCTGTGGCCTTGAGAACCGTCTTTCGCAATGCTCGCATTCATGACGGCAGTTGTTCCTGGCTGCACGTGACATCCGTTTCGCACGGTCACAGACACACACACACACATTAACAAGAACACACATTGCTTGGGTGGATGGTGCGCGGCCGGCGAAATTGAATTGCATTTGCCCGGGGGGGGGGGGGGCAAGTAATAGTAGGGTTGGCTAGAGCCAAGAGCCCACTGATGCATTCAATGGAGAAATGGAGAGCCGCTGGGCACCGTTTATTGGGGTTAACTTTATAAAAGTAGGCATGTGAGGATAAATATGGGAGTGGGAGGGTGGGAACGAGAAACAAATAAACTGACAACCAGTCACCACCATGAACAATTCTTGAGAAGAGATTGTCAGCAAGGAAGCAAGAAAAATGGGTCGCCATTTTGCGTCATGGTAAACGGACCTCAGTATGGTTGCTGACGTCATGGGCACGTTGTGTGCGCTGGGGTAAATGTGAGTGGCAGCACTGACAGTTGTGCGGCACCATGCCTGCGCGATGACACAGGGCAGCAGAGACAGTTGTGCGGCGCCATGCGCCCGCAAGGACATGGGGCGGCAGAGGTAGGTGTGCGGCCCCACGCGCCTGCGAGGACAAAGGGCGGCGGAGACAGTTGTGCGGCACCATGCGCATGCAAGGGCATGGGGCAGCAGAGGCAGTTGTGCGGCACCATGTGCATTCGAGGACATGGCGCAGCACGTACCCGTGGCGGTGAGTTGCAATGATGCTAGCTGTTAACGAGCATAAACGCTGCGCATTAATGCGACATTAACAAGAACACGCATTGCTTGGGTGGATGGTGCTTTCAATGCAGAAAGGGAGAGCCCATACAGGCCGGGCACCGTAACCCTAGGCAGACAGACAAGGGTCATAATAGTGGCCTGCAAATGTGAAGGCTAGCATGTGCATCTCTCAACGTTCAAATTATGGCAACGCGGATTCCGCGAATATTATTACCTTGTGTTCTTACTTCTTTGGCAGCCGGGGACTTAGATCGGTGCCTCAGCCAGACAGGTTGGATGTGGGTGTTTCCCCTCCAGGAGTAGCTGTTGATCGATCGGATCCGTAGCTGCTGAAGAGACGAAAGGGGCAACGATCCGACCCCATCGGGTGTACAATACGGCAGGCTGGGCAGGATGGTCGCGCCTGTGCAAAGCTGTCACAGGTTGTGGTCAATGAGGTCCCAACTGTTTGGTAGGGTCACGTACGGCCAGTTGCCGGAAATGCTTATTATATTCGAGACAGGCTTCTGGGAAGAAGCTGCGGTTAGCCTCCACCACGATTGACTGGTAAGACAAGAGCTCGTGTGTTCGATGTGGGGCGGTTTGGAGTATGGTGCCACAATACACAGTAAATGCCTCCATCCAGGTTGGCAAGTCATGAACATGTCAAGTTCTCGTGCGGAAAGGGTCATCTGCGCGCATCACGATGGGCAAACTGTCTCTCATTTCTAGGCGCAGCGACTGCGTTGCCTGGAGCTTTATCCCACCAATACCATCAGACAACAATTCACTTAAGTCCACAAATTCACCAGTGAGTATCCTGTCGAGTACTCGGCGGGGCAGGGAGGATGTCGGCAGGGCTGCCTGCACCGCGATGGCCACCGGTTGTGCCAAGCATGGCGCTGCCGCCGTGGGCGCTGCTGGTTGTTATGCCACGAGGATGGCTGGCAGGGTCTCCAATAGGACATTGGCCACGACGACCCGCAGAGTGTCCAGGTCACACCGACTCCGCTCGGGGTGACATGGGGGAGGTCGTGTGGTCCGCGAGCAGATTCTCTCGCTCGCGATCCGCGGCGGATTCGTCGATGTCGGGCTCACATTCATTGAGGGCTTCCGTCGGGCGTTTGACTAAATCAGTTCTACGGCCGGATGAATCCAGGCCGCGGGTGGACAGCTGTGCCCGGAGCAGCACGACCGTGAGGGGCGAGACCTCGTCAGCAGAGATATTCTCGGCAGGATCCATGTTCATGGGCAACGGGAAACAAATGAACTGTCCAACGTCAACGAGAAACAAATAAACTGTCCAACGTCAACGAGAAACAAAAATAACTGACAACCAGTCACCACCATGAACAATCCGCGATATTCATGTTAAAACAAAATGGCGTCACGATTTATTGAAAGTGGTATAGTTGGTGGTACGAGTGTTCAAAACCATTCGAACTTCATACTGTTCGTCTTCTTTTTGACTTGCTCTCTTTCCATCGTCCTTAGCTTTTGTTTGTTGTGAGCTGTTTTGGCTTTCTCCTGTGCCTCTGGGGGATGCCAAGTGATGGTTTTGAGAGGCTGGTGATGGCTGTGAGCGAGAGTTTGCCGATCGGCGTCGTCCTCGCTGTATCGATGAAAATACTAGTTACTGCGCACCTGGCAGATATCACAACACGTCGGAGCGTCCAGAAGCAAAGGAGTCTTGCGTTTTCACTGGAATCTAGTTCCTCCAGCATCGTGTAGCCCACCGTCGGTAAATGGCCGTCCAGAAAGGTCGAACCTGGTCTTCTGCAGCATCTCGCAGTCCTGCGAGGCACACCGTGTAAGCCTGCCATGTATTGTACAAATAAAACTCATGCAGTAGTGGACTCTACAGTGATGAGTCTCAGCCTGTATGCTGCGAAAGACACAGGAAATGTGACTGGTGTCTGTACACTCAGTGACTGGACGCCAACACCCCAGTCTTCTCCTGCAGGATCTGTTTGACATTGACATTATGCAGTAGGTCAGCATTAACCTGGTTCAAGTTGGCAGCTATCGTGATAATATCTGCCTGGTTGGGTGTAGCAGGTTGGCGTTTGCTCGTCGTCCAGTCCGGAATTTTCTTGTAACTCGCGGTGGAGTACGCGCAGGGTTTGTGATCATCCCTGTTCACTGCAATATTATCAAACACAACGTTCCCTTTGTCACTCATCTTATCATGAGTACTGAATTTGCTGACAATATTGCACCACACTTGTCACAACCTACCGCCACTGCTGGCGGTGGCGACTGGTTCGTCAATGGTGGTGACCAGGCTGACTGACTAGCTTCGAGACAGCGGCCTCGTTATCAACCCGGCGGCAGCCTAAAGGTTGATTTTATCGATCCAGCCTCAGCGCCATGTTGACGATGCCCTAGTGACTGTGTGTCATGGCTTGCCTTGCCATCAGCGGTCATTGCCGTCCACCTTGGTGCAGCCCTCAACAACTGGCTCAGCCCATGGGAGTGTCAAGTGGACAAAGTTGTTGCCAAAGTACCTCAGAAGATTGGTGCATCATGGTGTAGGTGAGCACATAACTAGGACTTCCCAGCGCCTATTTGTCCAGGCTGCGATACTATGTGACATGCTGTACTGCACATTCTTTGCAGCACTGCAAGGCCGGCAGCTGGACCGACTGCAAGGGCCGCGCACATGCAGGCCGCCTGTTGCCAGTGCAGCATTCTGGAACGTTCCTTCCTTCTGAGATCCGTGGAAAAATAACTTTCTTTGCTTCAAAGCAAGTTGCTTACCTTTCTGTTGTGCTCCCAGTGTCCTTACAACAATAACCTACAGCAATGTTTTATTTTCCTTTCCATTCCCCAACCAATGAATACTACAATGTCGATTCTATTTCTGAATACTTTTGTGTGTGCCCGCGCACGCAGGTGTGTGTATACCTCACTCACCACTCGAAGTTCTGTTCCCCATTACTGGAACACTGCCTGTTCTTTCAGGACCTGCCATCATCTGCGGATGGGCATTCAATGATTGTATTGTGTGTGTGTGTGTGTTTCATTCAGAATCAGATCCGCTATCGTTGCTATAAGAGAGAATCTGTGGGCTCACATCCAGTGCATTTGTAGATTTGCGTGCTTTTCTCGCCGCGGGCGCATACATGGGACATTGTGTGTGTGTGCGTCTGTGTGTATGGGAATATTGTCTGTATCGGCTTTTGGTACTAATGTTCAGGTCTGTGCTTGCATGTGTTAACATGAAATAATTGTTCGGTTCTGTGCATGCTATTCGGTCAAGTTAACGTTTATTGTGCTCTATTTATCGTGCGAATCAAAATAAACAATAATAACACAAGTCATGCTAGAGTGACGACATGTGCGTGTAGTAGGGTTGATGCGATGGGACGTTATAATTAAGTGGAACAGAACACACATTGGGCATCATTGATTGTGCTCAGTCTAAACAGTGAACATAATAATTATCTCCAGTGACAGACTGTAGCGGCTAGCCTCCAATAGGTAGCTGGCACTAGTCGCTACTGCTTGTTTGACAGGTGCCGCCAGAACCCCTGTTGTGTCATGCTATAGATGCACATGCCCTATTCTGGGGCATACTGAGGTACTTTGATTTTGTTGACTGCATGTAGACAGCATCCAATAGTAGTACTCGTAGACCTTGGCTCTTTGTAGGTCAACCACCATCGCATGGATCGATCGGTGACTATGCACTTGGAGGTTGGAATAGCCCGCGCTGAACAGATCTTGCCATGGCCCAGGGAGTGAACTCGCTTACTCGACTATCCCGGTTTTAGTTAGCCAGCATGAGTCGTGCAATTTGTCCCTACCATGTTGCGAGCTCACAGTTGTTTAGGCAGGTTTTGAGCTGCACCACGAAACAAGGCGAAATAACGGCGTGACTGTAGAGCAAGGAAGCGGCGAGACGGTACTTCCAGGACGAGGCAGGCAGTAGAGATGTGTTCACAGCACGACCACCCTCTCAAACCCTGCCGGTACTCCACAGTTACAAGAAAATGTCGGACTGGACGACGCGCCAATGCAAATCTGCTACATCCACCCAGGCAGATAGCTGCCAAACCAGGACAATGTCAACCCACTGCATACCGGTAGGTCAATGTCAAACAGATCCTGCAGGAGAAGACTGGGATGATATTGGCGTCCAGTGTACGGACACCAGTCACATTTCCTGCGTCTTTTGCAACATACAGGATAGACTCATCACTATAAAGTCCACTACTTCGTGATTTTTATTTGTAGAATACATGACAGGCGTATTCAGTGTGCCTCACAGGACTGCGAGATGCTGCAGAAGACCATGTTCGACCTTTCTGGACGGCCATTCACCGACGGTGGGCTACACGATGCTGGAGGAACTAGATTCCAGTGAAAACCCAAGATTCCTTTGCTCCTGGACGCTCCGACGTGTTGTGATATCTGCCAGGTTCGCAGTAACTAGTATTTTCATCGCTATAGCGATGAAAATACTAGTTAGTCACAGCCATCACCAGCCTCTCAAAACCATCACTTGGCATCCCCCAGAGGTATAGGAGAAAGCCAAAACAGCTCTCAAGAAACAAAAGCTAAGGACGATGGAAAGAGAGCATGTCAAAAAGAAGACGAACAGCATGAAGTTCAAATGGGTTTGAACACTCGTACCACCAACTATACCACTTTCAATAAATCGTGACGCCATTTTGTTTTAACACGCATACGGTCCATTCTTGAGAAGAGATTGTCAGCAAGGGAGCAAAAAAATGGGTCGCCATTTTGCGTCATGGTAACCGGACCTCAGTATGGTTGCTGACGTCATGGGCACGTTGTGTGCGCTGGAGTAAATGTGAGTGGCAGCACTGACAGTTGTGCGGCACCATGCCTGAGCGAGGCCACAGGGCAGCAGAGACAGTTGTGCGGCGCCATGCGATCGCAAGAACATGGGGAGGCAGCGGCAGGTGTGCGACCCCACGCGCCTGCGAGGACAATGGGCGGCGGAGACAGTTGTGCGGCACCATGCGCATGGAAGGGCATCGGGCAGTTGTGCGGCACCATGTGCATTCGACGACATGGGGCAGCACGTACCCGCGGCGGTGAGCTGCAATGATGCTAGCTGTTAATGAGCATAAACGCTGCGCTTTAATGAGACACACACAAAAAAAACACACACACACACATACCTGCATATACACACACAGTGCCCTCCCTGCACCAGTATACAGAATCAAACCCATGCCCCAATCATTCAATCATTCATGCATGTACTGTCATGGACATGGAAATCTGGTCACATATCTAGCGGCCCCGGTCAATCAACTGAATTTCCATGCCTGCTACAGTACATGCCGACAAACGGATCAACAGACACAATTTTTTAAAACAAAAACGCATTTGATAAAATATCGCACTGACCTGATGTTACCGATGGTGGCATCCGGCTCAAAAACCGACCAGCTGTAGTGGTTATGCTTGTTGTAATCAGTTTCTCGTCCCATTTGCTATTGACAACAGCAAGACCGAGGCTTGGTACTGATGTGGATAGGCAAAAAATGTCGTGTGTCGCTGAAAACGCGTCCTGCCCAGCGAGATCTTTGATACGCAAATGCTGACCACGCTCATCAGTGAAGTTGGACATCTGGATGCCTCGGGTTCGTTTCGAGTCGTTTGATGTGCCATTGGTGCCTTCTTTTCTCAATGTCTTGATCAGTGTGGACTTCCCAACAAGTTGTTCCCCGCTAACTAGAACAACTAGAGTGTTAGCGTCCACTTGGCCTTCGGAATAAAATTCCTCCAGCTGAAAGTAAGTCTGCGTATATATAACACACACAAGAACAACAATTAAAGAATAGGGGGTTTGTCAACTTACAACCGCTCTATGCAGTTGCTATTCACACTTGGCGCATGCGCTGGATGAAAATTCTTTATCAGTGACGTAGTGTTCATCTGTTTGACAGTAAAGTATGCGAGGAGAACATTTTTTAACCCTAGAACAGCCAACGGTGTCATTTGACACCGCGCGAGTCAAACTTTTGGAATTACCGAAATATGGCTTATCAGAATAAGCTCAAATCTTGTGACTATTCCTAATTTTTCTTCCTCTTTCGTCTGCCATAAATCTTTGATTTGTAATTGATGAGGTACCATAATGGCGAGTACGTATACCTAGAACAGCCAACCGGTGTCATTTGACACCTGCACTATAAAAAGCCATTATTGCAGATAGATGGAAACAATATGAACACATTTCGAAGGTGTCGGCCATATCGAGTTGCTCGTATGCCAACCAGACAAAAGAAAGGGGCACGGGTAGGAAAATCGCTGAATACAGGACGAAATAATATTATAGGATCACCATACAACCGTTGGGCGAGAATCGCGAATTTGGGGCAGGTAACCATTAGTGCATAGATTACACAAACAATCTTCAGCTAATGTCCTTGATACTGCTCATTCCCTTTCATTTTCCTGTAAATTGCCCCAGAGGAGCCATCGCGGTCTGACGGCCAAGGAAATACTAGAGCGGATGTAGCCTATTACCATGCATGAATCTGATGACCATGAAAGCAAAATTGCCCACTTTATCTTCACTTGATAGATGTTCAAGTGTAGTGACCATTGGCAGTGGTGGATCTGTTCTGTCATATGAGGGCGAATCTAACGGTCACAACACCTGAGTACCACCTATGGATTCAGAATGTGTCGAGGCTTACGAGCCTCCAGAGAGCGGACGAGGATTGCGGGATAGTCCAGACAAGGAATTGTCAGAAACTGTTGGAGGAGTGGTGGAGACCCCGAAATGGATAGTGTTGAGGAAGAGGAATCGCAACTCTGCAAACTGGAGATGGTACACCGCATTATCGCAAGGATGGTGCTGTGTAGATAATCTTTTCTAACTACTTGACGAGCTAATAAGGCTCTTGAACCAAACCTCTTCCTCCCCCGCTTCAGGCTAAACGGGTAGGCAGCCGCTGCGATGCCTCCTCTCTCTTTATTGGGCCCGGATGCTGCAGAAGGTGATTGCTAAGTCATAACTGATAACCTCATCATCAGTGCATTACTGGTCAAGAAACTGTTGGAGAATAAAGAGTTGCAGTATGAACCACTTTGGGAAATTGAAGTGAACTACCTTCTAACTTCATTGCCAATAATCGCGGATTGCATTTAGTTTTTCAAGATTACATTGTAGGATGCAAAGATGGTAGACATAGAAGGTAGAAGGAGCAAGAATTATCAATGGTCCGCCTAGTGTAGACCACCTAGAGCCATATGGTTTACATGGTGAGAGTAGGAAGCCCCACATCGTCCAATTCTAGCAAAAGACGAGATATGTCCTTGACCGTTTCAATGGAATGTGGTGGATCTACTCAACAAAGACTATTCCCGAAGATGTCCCCTGCAAGGCGGTTACATAAATGAATAGCTGTGACAGGAATCAACGCCTTCACAATATCCCAGACCTTTGCTAGTTCATGCCCATCCGGAAAACGCTCATTCCTGCACTGGTCAATAAGCTTGTTGACAGTCATGGCATCTGGTTCCTAAGTGCCAGCCAAGGAGAAGAGAAGGGTATACCTCTTTGAAAGAGTCTAAAATGCAATCGTTACTAGCCTAAACCATCTCTAGTAGCATATGTGTCAGCTTGGTGAAAAAATGATGTTCATAGTCAATCCATGTTTGTACTTGTTACTGTGTGTCATTCATCGTGACGGTCGAGTAATCCGATTATGCCAAAGCACATATTCCCGAAAAGCAGTTCCTCATGTGCCCAGTGACGTTGACACATTGCTTGTTATTGTAACTCTGTGATTATAAGAAATTCCTATGCAAGTATTTGAAGTTTTGCCGGTTATTGAGTTCATCCTTCGCAATTGCCGTTACGCGTACATTGTATTTTAGTTGCGTATAGCCAACAATAGTGTCTGGGTGAATCCTAAATTGTTGTATACATCATGAATGCCACTAGTGATAGCCAGCACTGAAAACAAAAACTATAATAACCTATATCATAGGTCTTAGACATCGAAATGTATTCAGGTGTCAAATGACACCGTTTGGCCGTTCTAGGAGTACTGAAAGTGGTGGCCGTCCTAGGGTTAAAGGGGAAGTATACCCTAAAATCAAAGTTTCACCAGTTGTAGTCTTCGAGGTGCTGAGGCGAATGGTCTTGGTCCGAGGACGCTGAGACGCTCCCTTCCTCCTTCATTCCCAATCGAACTCGCGCACTTCCACCGAAACTGGGTGACTGCGCCCTACTAGATAGGAATTTGTATGGAAAAGTCACTAAAACGCCGTTTCCTTCTCATAAAAGCACGGATGACCGCGATTGGTCCGTATGTTGTAGTCTTTTGGCGGCTGAGTTGACTGGTTTTGGTCTGAAAAGGCGTCTATGCAGTGTTCGGCCCTTATTCCCAATCGAACACAGTTGAGTTAGCGGTCACGTGCTCATGCGTTCACCAGTTGCCTGGTCACCGTGCCTGCACTGGCTGCAGGCTACAATTTTCACATCAAGGTTCAACTCAAAGGTTCAAAGCAGGGGGTCGTAAGAGGCTTTTACGACTCCCTGGTTCAAAGTTTCAACTCGAGTGACATAAACGGGCCCAAACAGGCTGTAAATTAGCACGTGACCGCTTACTCAGCCATGTTCGATTTGGAATAAGGGCCGAACGCTGCATAGCAGCCTTTTTGGACCAAACCCAGTCGACTCAGCCGCCAAAAGACTACAACATACGGACCAATCGCGGTCATCCGCCCTTTTATAAGAACGAAACGCGTTTTTAGTGACTTTTTCCATAAAAATCCCTATCTAGTAGGGCGCAGTCACCCAGTTTCGGTGCGAGTTCGATTAGGAACAAAGGAGGCAGGGAGCGTCTCAGCTTCGTCGGACCAAGACCATTCGACTCAGCATCACGAAGACTACAACTGGTGAAATTTTTATTTTAGGGTATACTTCCCCTTTAACCCTAGAACAGCCAACGGTGTCATTTGACACCGCGCGAGTCAAACTTTTGGAATTACCGATATGTGGCTAATCAAAAAAAGCTCAAATCTTGTGACTATTCCTAATTTTGCTTCCTGTTTCGTCTGCCATAAACCTTTGATTTGTAATTGATGAGGTACCATAATGGCGAGTACGTATACCTAGAACGGCCAACCAGTGTCATTTGACACCTGCACTAAAAAAAGCCAAATTTGCAGCTAGATGGAAACAATATGAACACATTTCGAAGGTGTCGGCCATATCGAGTTGCTCGTAGGCCAACCAGACAAAAGAAAGGTGCATGGGCAGGAAAATCGCTGAATACAGGACAAAATATATGATCAACATACAACCGTCGGGCGAGAATCTCGAATTTGGGGCGGACATCCGTTAGTGCACAGATTACACAAACACTCTTCAGCTAATATCCTTGATGCTGCTCAATCCCTTTCATTTTCCGGTAAATTGCCCCAGAGGAGCCATGGCGGTCTGACGGCCAAGGAAATACTAGAACGGATGTAGCCTATTACCATGCATGAATCTGATGACCATGAAAGCGAAATTGCCCACTTTATCTTCATTTTATGGCTGTTCAATTGTAGTGACCATTGGCAGTGGTGGATCTGTTCTGTAATATGAGGGCGAATCGCACGGTCACAACACCTGAGTACCTGTGGATTCAGAAGGTATTGAGGTTTACGAGCCTCAAGAGAGCGGACGAGGATTGCGGGATAGTCCAGACAAGGAATTGTCAGAAACAGTTGCAGGAGTGGTGGAGACCCCGAAATGGATAGTGTTGAGGAAGAGGAATCGCAACTCTGTAACCTGGAGATGGTACACCGCATTATCGCAAGGATGGTGCTGTGTAGATAATCCTTTCTAACTACTTGACGAGCTAATAAGGCTCTTGAACCGAACTTCTTCCTTCCCCGCTTCAGGCTAAACAGGTAGGCAGCCGCTGGGATGCCTTCTCTGTCTTTAGTGGCCCGGATGCTTGAGAAGGTGATTGCTAAGTAATAACTGATAACTTCATCATCAGTGCATTACTGGTCAAGAAACTGTTGGAGAAGAAAGAGTTGCAGTATGAACCACTTTGGTAAATTGAAGTGAACTACCATCTAACTTCATTGACCATAATCGCGGATTGCATTTTGTTTTCCAAGATTACATTGTAGGATGCAAAGACTAGACGTAGAAGGTAGAAGTAGCAAGAATTAACAATGGTCCGCCTAGTATAGACCACCTAGAGCCATATGTTTTACATGGTGTGAGCAGAAAGCCTCACATCATCCAATTCCAGCAAAAGACGAGATATGTCCTTGACCGTTTCGATCGAATGTGGTGGATCTACTCAGCAAAGACTATTCCAGAAGATGTCCCCCTGCAAGGCGGTTACATAAATGAATAGATGTGACAGGCATCAACGCCTTCACGGTCTCCCAGACCTTTGCTAGGTCATGCACATCAAGAAAACGGTCATTCCTGCACTGGTCAATAAGCTTGTAGATAGTCATGGCACCTGGTTGCTATGTGCCAGCCAAGGAGAAGAGAAGGGTATACCTCTTTGAAAGAGTCTAAAATGCAGTCTTTACTAGCCTAATCTTGAAACCATGTATAGCAGCATACGTGTCAGCTTGGTGAAAAAAATGATGCTCATAGTCAGTCAATGTTTGTACTTGTTACTGTGTGTCATTCATCGTGACGGTCGAGTAATCCGATTATGCCAAAGCACATATTCCCGAAAAGCAGTTCCCCATGTGCCCAGTGACGTAGACACATTGCTTGTTATTGTAACTCTGTGAATAGAAGGCATTCCTATGCAAGTAATT